AAGAGAAGAGAAGAGAAGAGAAGAGAAGAGAAGAGAAGAGAAGAGAAAGGCTGTGGCGTAATTCAAATATCATTTGAAAGACTATATAACTGGAGAAGATTGACTTTGTGTAATTCAATGTTAGTTTTACACTTTCCCCTTTTTGCATGCGCACATACCCACACACACCCACACACACCCACACACACAGGAATAGAGGAGAAAGCCTTGGCTGTCTTACCTGGTTGAGCCCCAGGTTGGATACTCTGGAAGAGGTGATTCCTGACAAAATCGCCGTGGCCACGATAGCGCCCAGGCACTGGGCAAGGATGTACATGAAGGCCCGGAACATGCTGATCTGGCAGCTGAGAAGCAGGCCCAGGGTGACCGCCGGGTTCAGGTGGGCGCCGCTGATGTGGCCCACGCTTTGGGCCATGGTTGCGATCGCGATCCCAAAGGCCAGCGAGACTTTCACGTTGTCTTGGGGGGGCGTCGTGGTCGAGTTGGCTGGCACGGAGAACTTGACGCCCAGCGCCGAGCCGATGCTGATGAAGATGAAAAGGATCATGGCGAAAAACTCGGCCACCACGGCCCTCCAGAAGATCTTCTTCTTGAATTCGCTGGCCATCTCTCCTCCTCCTCTTCTTTCTTCTGCTCCTCCACCTGCTTTCTGTCTCTCTCCCTCCCTCTCGTTCCCTTATCACCCACCGCTTGCCTTCTCAACAGGCTTCCTGGCTGAAGTCTGAGGAAGTCTGAGCAAGAACGGGATGCTCCATGTATTTATAGGGTTTTGGGTGGTCTGGAGGAGGGAAGGGGTGTCATAGAGCAGCAGAAAAGAACATCGTCAGACACGCCGACTGTTGCTGCCTGCCAATTTCTCTTTTTTTTTTTTCCTCTCTCTTCCACCGGCTTTCCCCGCCCTGACAACATCCACTCATTCCGTTTTCCCTTGCAAACTGCAAGCTGCGTTGCCGTGCCGTCGCTTTTCCACAACTTCGAGAAATCCTCCTTAACGGGGCACTCGGGAAAGCCTGCACGTGGAATTCCCTAGCGTGGCATCTTTCGTCGCTCCGCTCCCCAGTGGGAAAGATGCGGGAAAGCAGGCTAAAAAGCTCTTACAAGACTTCTCAGTCCGAGTCTTTCTCTGAGCTGAGCCTTTGGCAAGCTTGGGTGGTATGTATTCACCTCCTTGCATCCCACAGAGACAGTGCATTAAATAAAAGGGTCCATTTTTAAAGGCTTCATTAGAGCAAAAAGTAGGAACGGAGCACTGTGGCTTTCCCACTTTTCAGAGTTATTACCAATCATGGGTTTTGCTGGGTCCATTTTTCTCTATGAAGCTGAAATGCAGAACAATATTTCAGCATTACAATGTAATCCTATGAATGAACACAGGAAAGGAACCTCAGCAAGCAAACTGAGAGACTTCCAGGTATAGGATTGCAGTCTAAGGACACAATTCTTCGTGAGAGAAGGGGCTTACAGTTCCCAGAATATCCCTGCCCATCCTGGGAATTTTAGGCCCTTTTCTGTCCAAACCTTCATCCGATTGTTCCCTAAGTGACTTTTCTTTTGCTAAAAGCTTTGAAACTGCCTGCCTGATGTAATCTGAAATTGGCCATTGAGGCTCCGTATCCATTGCAGCGTGAGTGTTTTATGGTGCAGCTCCCAAAATCGGTTCATGACCATGGACAGCTCTCATAATGCTCAAAATAAAAGCTGCAATGCATAAAGAGCCCCAAGGAGGCAGGTTTTTCAGTTCCTGAGAAATACACACACACACACACACAATGTGAGAAATGTCCCAGAAGGATTTTGCTAGCCTCGTGCAAGCTCTTCCAGTTTCAAATACCTCATCTTGCCTTCAGAATTTTTCCCAAGGCAAAATGTGAGCATAACGGTAAGACTAACACCCCTTTAAAAGCTTCCTACCTTTCCACCGAGATCCCAAGAAACAATCAAATCACGTTGAGCTAAAACCTTGGAAACTCCATAGGGCTTACATGTGAGTAGACCTATTTATGACTATTCTTCTACATTGCATTGTACACAGCACCTTCATTAGCAGCAGCATTCACTGTACAAAGAACCAGTTTGGATGCGTTCTTAGTGTTCCCTCTGCCTCCATAAACGGTCATGCCTGAGAACCAGATCGGGAAGGTATAGGAGCCCTTCCTGCATGCTCATGAGCTGCTATCCCTTTGCAGCCAAGAATCTAGTGCCTGCATCTGCATTTTTCCTCTTCCCTCCCAACCCCCTTTCCTTTTGTGTCATGACTTTTAGATTTTGTGAGGCCTGGCAGGGATGCTCACTGCCTATCTTTGTAATCTGCCTTGAGAGCATTTTTGGCAAAAGGGTGAAATAAAAATGCTGTAAATAAATAAAAATCACACAAGTCTTAGTGAGACAATCAAAATTGTAATGTCAGCATAGATAGAGAACAATTAAGTTCTTGATGCTGATTTGTTTTAAGGCATGAGTAGAACCCTCTTCATAATATGTATTGGTTTAATTTCACATTTCTAGGCCTTCCACTATTGAAGCTCTCATGTATTTATTCCAGAGCAATTCACTACGCAGGGCACAAAAACGCGCTTAATGGACCTTGCCTACAACAAGGTGATTCACCTACGGATGGCCAAATCTGTCAGTTTCACTTTGTTCCACAACCCTATTTCCCGAATCTCAAATCCCTTCTGTCCTATTTAGGAAGAAATGTATGACTTCTTAACAAAGGAGAAGTGAATGAAATCCTTATTTCATGGAGAAGAGCATTTTATATCTGTCAGCCACGTAGCTGTTAAAAGCAAGAAGTTTGCCAGCAACAGGAGTTGCCAAGGGATACGACTTCAGACAGGAGGTACCCTGTGAGCCCACCTCTTGCAAAGAAGCACGGGAATTTATTTTCTGCTCTGAACATGCAAGCTTCACCCATTTACCACCCTGACTGTGCGTGCCAGCAGGAGCCCGCGTCTGCCAAAACCGTCACCAGCCTCTGGAACACGCACTCAGGACTGCTTTGCGCAATTTTCCGGATTTGCGCAAATTTCCAGTTTTTGCACAAATTGCAAGAATGCCCAAACGGGGGAAATTTGCAGGGACAGCGGTGCCTGATCGTCCTATTCCATAGCTGCTCACTGTGTGAACTTTGCCCGTTCACGTGATACCAACAGCGATAGCAAACAGGGACCCAAATCGAGGTAAGATGAGCACTGAACTGACGCCTGGAGAAAGCTTGCAAGTTGGAACATATATTTGCCCATCTTTAATCTCCTGTTTCTGGTCTCAGAGCAGGGTGAGAGGAAGTGGCCGGCTAAAGCTTTTCCATGAAGGCATTTTTCAATCTCACCAATCTGGTGCCATGGCCTACGAAGCGGTCTGGAATGTACCTGGGTCAGCCCCTCTCATCAGAATGCCTGAAATACTATATAAACATCTCCTCTGGCACTCATATCGGGTGCATGAAGCACAGGTTTGCTTTTCAGTTAATCTAGCGCACCTCTTCTTGTGCGGGGAATGTGTTTCCAAGGCAAAACTTGAAGAGGAATGTCAGGTTGAATTCTTAGTAAAATCTAATACCGCCTGGCCCAAAACCAGCCTGGGTCTTTGAGCTCTGTACCCGCATTAACCTGCATTTCTTATTGCTTTAAAAAAAATCTACACAAACATTTATCCTGAATAAATATCTGTGGTGCATTTTTGCATAGAATATACAGTTCAAAAAATTATTTATCTCTAAGAATATATTTCCACATGTGATGGTCAGATGCTGCAGGGTTTGTTTTAGTCTACTTATGTATTGTAAGTCATCCTGAGATGTTTGTAGGGGACGGGATAAGAAAGCTTTTAATAAATAAAATAAATGAATACATTTGACCCTGCCGTGTGCACTTTGCATTGCAGAATTACGGATTGCGTGTGAGCGATGGACCATGTTTTCGTCTCCGTGCTGATTGCATCTCTGCCTTGTCTGTGTCCGTCTGTCCTTCGCACTCTCCCTGGGATCACCCTACCCTTCCTGGCTAGGGGGTTTGTCCTCCTACCCACCTCTTGTCTCACCCTATAGCAGAGGTGCAAACCTTGCAGGCCATGGGCCACCAGAGACTCCAGCAGCCTGGCAGAATGACAAGAAAAGCAAAGGGTGCGGGAGTGTTTTAAACATGGGCTCTACCGCTTTTTGAAGACAACTTGGTCCTAGAGTATCCCTGGATAAACCAAGGAACATGGGCTTGGAGGCTGCTTTCTGCTTTCTGTGAGCGACTAGGAATGGAGCTTTTACGTCAGGGATCAGAGAGCAAGTTGGAGCGCAATGTTGTGTGTGTGTGTGTGGTGGGTGATGGTGCATGCGTGTGGAAGAGCAGGGGTACACACGTGTGACCCCCAACACCCCAGTCAATGCCCAAAGGGGCCGCTGGCCATCGCATCCGAGCACCTGCGGGTTTGCCCCATCTGTTCCACATGAAGTGTCCACAGGGCATGGATTGTTGCTATAAGATCTGAGCACAGCAATGGGTGCAAAGAGAGAAGGGTGCATAGACAGACTTGAGCACAAATGACCATTTGGCCCCAAGTCTTTTTTTATGGGGTTTCCTTGGCCCCGGGCCCCAGTTGAGGGTCCCCATTTGCACCCCCCCCAACAGTTGGGCTCCTGGTCAAGGGGCCAGGGGTCCATCCAGGGTGAAAGCCCAGCTTCCACTATGCAAGGAAGTTCTGGTCCTTTAGTGAGTGTGAAGAGCCTGCAAGTGCTCAGCTACCAGGGATATATACACTCTGCATATGCTCAGAAAGCAGAAACCCATCATCATATTTGTCTCTTTCAAAATAGGGACAACTGGAAGAGAGTGGTGCTGAACTGATGCCGTGGGAGTTAGAAAGTCAGCTGGAAGGTCTGTTTGGATGCAGTGGCCAAGGCACTGGCCTTGGCACCGAAGCAAATAAAGCCGGAAGGGACCAAACGGTTTGACCGCTGGATTCAGCCACAGAGTCCCAATTCTTGGCCCAGTCATTCTCTCGGCCTAGTTCATCTCCAAGGGCGCTTGTGGAGTCCCTAACAGCCAAAGCGACCTGCTATTGTGCTCTTGGTCCTTGGAGGAAGTGTGCAAAAACTGGAATGCAGTCGTTCAAAGGTGATCTATAGCTGGCAGGCAAAATCAGATATGACTCTCCAGGAACTGCTTGTTTCATTTCACGCTGCATATTTTAGCACACACGTTTTCAGGAGCTCAACCTCCTTTGCTGTCACCAGGGAGACAGGCTCTGGCATAGCTGCCAAGCCAACTAACTCAACCCACAAAAAAGAGGATTTTTTTTTTAAAGGGCAGGCATGGATTCATTAGCAGAAAGGTTCCCCGGGGTTGCCAAAACAGATTCTTTTAGCAGCAACCAAGCAAAATCCATTCGCCTCCCAGCGGATGCATCATGGCCCATGCCATGCCCCTGGGATGCCTTCATATCTGTCCCTCGAACACGTTTGCGAAACTTTCAAAGGATGCTTCTTCACAGTTTCAAAATGCTGACATCCCCTTCCCAAGTGAGCTGATCGAGAGAGAAACAAAGCGAGCCCTTGGCAAATGGAATCCATTCAAATTCAGCTGGGTTTCTAGTTCTTGCTTTTTAATAGCTGCATATCCTGTTTAGCTTCCATCAGAGCTGCTTGTAAAGAATACACCAGATGCAGCTGGATCTCGCTCCGGTTCAGCTGATGAAACTTTAAGGAAGGGATGCGGATGCCCAGGGGAACTACTTAAACGCAGTAATTATCTGTTCTTGGATCAGCCGGCAATAAAGGCAAGGGTAACTCAAATGTCAGCTTGTATCTCCTCCAGTCAAGCCACTTGACACTTACGAGAAAATAAAATAAAACAACCCAGGGCTTTT